AGCTTCATACACTGCCTTCTCTGGGGCACATTGCCTGGCCTCCCAGGCCTTTAGAAATCTAGGTGGAAGTCTCTTTAATGTCAGAACTCTTGCATTCTCCATGCACCTAAAACCAGAGCCATGTGGATGATGCCAAGGTTTGCTGCCACCTGGAGTAATAGCCAAGCTTTCCTCTCTCTTGACCATAGGAGTCAAGTGCCTGGATCGCTGGGCACTCTGAATCCAATTGTGAGGAGCAAATTCTCTATGCTGCCGCCACCATTCTGGAACTTGGTGTGGCCACCACTGCCATTCTGGAACATGGCTCTCTGCGGCTTTCTTCTCAAAGCAGTCTTTCATCTTTGCACTTTTGAGGCTGCAAAGGGTGGAGACTTGCTGCTTCTTGTGATGCCCTCAGGCCACCTTTTTGATTCTCTTGTTCCTTCTCAGCAATGGAGATCTCCTCAGCGTTATCTTTGCAGTCCACAGCTTTACTGGAGCTTCCCTTCTGGCCAAACTCACAACATTTTAAATCATCCTGCTGGGCTCTTTGCTCTTGATTCTCAATATAAATCCAGCTAAAAGCCCCTAACAATAGCCATGCCACTGCCCCAACATTTGACTGCCTTGAAATTTATTTTGCCAGATTAAATAGTCCACCACCCTTAATCTCAGTCTTAGGCAAAGTCTGTGGACACAAGCAAAATGCAGACAAACTTTCTGCTAAGTCATAACATACATCATCTGGAGTCTAGCAATCAATGCAGTTTTTCTTCCTAGCAGAAACCTCCTGAACCAGTCTTTACCGGCAGGATTTCTATCAGCCTCCTGGTCTTCTGAGCTCTGACCAGGATCTTCCATACAGAGCAGCTGGAGGTGTTCTAGCACTTCATTTTCGGGTGAAATCTCTGAACCATTCCAAACACCTCCCAGAAGCTATTTCCAAAGGCTGTCAAACTACATGGTCAGGTATCCGCACAGCAACAACCCCACTCCTGGAACCAAATTTGTCTTGGTTACATTTCTCTCATTGCTGAGACAAAATACAGGATGCCCAGAATTAAGGAAGAAAAGCCTTATTTAGCTCATAGTATGTGGAGTTTCAGTCCATACTTGGCTGGCTCCAAGGCAGAGTGGCACATGGCAGAGAGCAATAGTTCACGGTAGTGGAAGATAGCAAAAGCAACAAGAGCAAAAGGGAGGAAGGGTGGCAGGCAGCCTTTTTCCCTCCCTTACATTATATGCAAACTGCCTGCCCCAGGGTGGGTTTGCACTCACACCATAATCCCAGCACTGGACCATGAATCAATCATAAACTATAGAAGTTCACTCTATGACTGCATGAGGCTTTGGGGGGTGGACACACACCCAGAAACAAATCATAACAGTCTCTACCAGCTCCCAACAGCCTCTCTTCTTTTTCTCCAGTTCTGCCTCTTATGTTGCCAGCAACAGTCCTCAGATGGGCCTCCTACATCCAGCACCATGCTGGTTCAATTTAGCTGGGTGTTACAAGTTGACCACCAGTTGTCAATCCACCACACTATGTGTGCACTTAGGATTTCCCACCTGCACTGTTGTCCTCTCTGTTTTTATTCTGTTGTAGCTTCCTGATTCCTACTTTCTTTGAAAATGGTGAAAATTTCCCAATAGGTAGTGGCTTTGGTTCATGTGCACCAAACCAAATCATTGTTTAACATAGACCTGGCTGGGCCTGAGGAGTACCGGGTGAAAAGGTTGAGCCAGCTTAGTCAAGAGCACCTTGGTAACTGCCCTAGAGGTTTCTTGCACTGTATGAGCTAGAGAAGTCTTTGATTTCCTTTTGTTTTTTTGCCCCTGACTGAGAAACCTCCTGCACCTCCTCCCTTTTGCTGCAGATTTCTCAGTCAGCCAAGTGCCAGAGAAGCTCGATGTGGTGGTGATTGGGAGTGGCATTGGAGGCCTGGCTGCAGCAGCGATTCTGGCTAAAGCTGGCAAACGAGTCCTGGTGCTGGAACAGCATAACAAGGCAGGGGGCTGTTGTCACACCTTTGGAAAAAATGGCCTTGAATTTGACACAGGTAAGGCTTGCGTGGAAAAGCTTTGGGAGCATGGCTCTATCTTTAAGGGACTTGGAGCAGCCGCTGTGGGGTGATACTGGGCATTTCCGATGTTTCAGAAGTGCCACCTTCTCTCTGGGAATCACAGCTGTCCCTGCTGGGCTAGGATCTGGGGGTGTCTGCTAACATCTCCCAGAAGAAAGGGTGGGCAGCCCTGTCTGGGCATGGGCGTGGCCTGCCCTGGACAACCTCTTCCACTTCCTTCCTTGCACACCTCTCCAGGGCTCAGTGCCTTTATCCCTGCGCCATTTGGTCTCCCCACCTGCCAACAGGAATCCATTATATTGGGCGCATGAAGGAGGGCAACCTTGGCCGGTTTATCTTGGACCAGATCACAGAAGGGCAGCTGGACTGGGCCCTGCTCGGCTCCCCTTTCGACATGATGGTGCTCGAAGGGCCTGAGGGCCGGAAGGAGTTCCCCATGTACAGTGGGAAGACAGCGTACATTCGAGGCCTCAAGGAGAAGTTTCCCCAGGAGGAAGCTGTTATTGACAAGTACATGCACCTGGTCGAGGTACTGTGGACACGCTCTCAACTGCCTTTATTCCCAGCAAGGCCGAGCTGGTGCAGTGGGAGAGGAGCAGTCATCCTTGTCCTCAACTCAGCCCCAGCCCAGTCTACCTCTGCCCTGCTGACCTCTTCTGCCAGGGAGGCTCCGCCCAGCGGCTGCCACCTCACTCTGGCCTCTGGACCACACCTTGCTCCCTCCCTGACCGGGCTGCTTTCTGTCATATGATCATTATTTCAGCTGAGATTAGATTAGGATTTTTTTTCCAGTACTGGGGATTGAATCTAGGGTCTCATGCATGATAGGCAAGCACTCTACCACTGAGCTACATCCTTAGTCTGATTGATTGATTGATTGAGTGACTGATTGATTGACACATAGAGTCTCACTAAATTGCCCAGGCTGGACTTGAACTTGTGATCCTCCTGCCTCAGCTTCCCAAGTAGCTGGGATTACAGGAGTATATTAGTATGGCTGGCCAGACTGGGATGTTGGAAAAAGAATTTGCACAGAGGAAGATAACAACTCTTCGGGCATGTAGGATGGGAAAAACAGAGTATAAACTTTTTTAAAAATATAAATTCAACAACATCCAGCTTTGGGTAGGTGTTGCAGGGCACAAGCTGTTGGGATGGCGATTCTGTCGCGGCTCTTGCGGAGGTGAGATCTGTGCCCGCGGCTCATTCTCTTTCCAGGTAGTGGCCCATGGAGCCATCCACGCCGTCTTCCTGAAGTTCCTCCCGCTGCCCCTGGCTCGGCTCCTGAGCAGGTGTGGGCTACTGATGCGCTTCTCTCCGTTCCTTCGCGCGTCCACACAGAGCCTGGCTGAGGTCCTGCGGCAACTTGGGGCCTCTGCCGAGCTCCAGGCCGTGCTCAGCTACATCTTCCCCACTTATGGTGCGTACCGGTTGCAGGTGCTGGAGGCTAGGGGACAACCCTCCCACTGGCAGGCTTTCTTCCCTAATCTGCTTGGCTAAATCCAGAGCGGAACAGACCACAGGCTCTCTGGAGCTTGTGGATGAGAAGTCTGTCCCCCACTGGACTCCCTGGAAGAGATCCCTCCATCCACTCCCTGAGTGATTTTCCCGTTCACCCACTCTGTGCTCCCTGGTCTTGGCAGCTGGGAGTTTCAAGGCTCTAGTCCCATGCACTCCCAGATCTGTAAGGTGCCTGTGTGGGATGGAAACAGCTCCTCTGGTGGCCCTGGACCCTGGGCAACATTTGGATCCTGTACTGCACCCAGGTCACCCCTGTTCCTTTCTGAAAGGTACTCATACCTGCTCCCGCCCACTCATCGCCCTTCTGTCCTAGCACAGGCGTGACCCCCAGCCACTCCACCTTTGCCATGCATGCCGTGCTGGTTAACCACTACATCCAAGGCGCCTACTACCCCCGAGGGGGTTCCAGCGAGATTGCCTTCCACACCATCCCTGTGATTCAGCGGGCCGGGGGCGCAGTCCTCACGAAGGCCACTGTGCAGAGCGTGCTGCTGGACTCAGCTGGCAAAGCCTGTGGTGAGAGCCTTGCCCTGTGCTTTGGGCTCCCTGCTGGGGTGAGAGAGCTCCGGAGTCTCGCCAAGGACAGGAGCTACAGCTGAACAACCTCCTCATGCCAGGGAAAGGCCCAAGTTGGCTGCAGAACAGGGGCTGGGGGGTTGGCGATTAGTCTGGAGATAAAAAAGGGAAGCAGGAAGGTAATGGATTGCACGGTCCCCAAACAGCGGCATTTCATCATTATCAATATATCAAAATACGGCCGCCTTCTTGAGCGAGGGCTGTGACCCTTCATGTCAATAGTTCTTAGCCAGTCCCTGAGGCCGAGTCGGTGTTTGCTCAGTGCCTGAAGGAATCTGTGGGCAGCAGGTAAGTGCTCCTCCCTACACGGTCTCAGAGCCCAGCGCAAATGAGCTCTCTGAAGCGTCCTGTGCAGGAGGCACCTTGGTAAGCAGAACATGCCAGCCAAGGCGAAGCTCAGGGGTGTTTAACAAAGCCTCAGGCACGGGGCCAAAAAGATGCTCCAGGAGAACAGAGCTGCCATGCACAGGAATTTGCCAGAGAAATCATTGAGGAAGAGGAGGCGGTGATGATGAGGGGGTGGTCTAGTACAAAAAAAAAAAAAAAAGAGGAAAAGGCCATCAGTAGCCTCAAAGAACCCATCTGTAGAAGGACTGAGAAGTTGCGGGTGGCTGTCAGGTCCATGAGTTGTTTTCTGCTGCCTGTGAGCAAGTTCTGCTTCCTGCTGCGAGGGCCCTGTGAAGTGAGGTGGGTGCCTCGGTTCAGTGCCATTCCAAAGATACCCATGTGTTTCCCATGTGCCACCTGAGGAAAGATGAGAGTAAAGGAGAAATAAGTCCAACCTCTATTTCAAGAAGTTTCCAGTCTCTGAGGGAATCTCATTGCAACATGGTTGAGGGCCACACAGCAACATATTCAAAGGTAGCGAGACACATGAGTAGTGACAGGACTGTGGGACAGGGAGGACCTCACAGGGGCAGAGGCTTTGAGCCGGGTAGGATGCAAGGGAGCCCAAGGGATGGGGTGGGAGGAGGTTGTTCCCGGAAGGCAGAACAGCACGTGCAGAGGCGCAGAGGTCTGAAAGAGCTGAATATTTCCAGGCAGCCAAAAATGGGAAGTTGAACCATACAAAACTGCCATTATATAAAAGGTCAAAGAATATTAGTTGCTTGATCTGGTCCTGCTGATAGTTCCGTGGACTTGCGGAAGGGTGCTTGAGGGTACTTCCCCGAATCTGCATTGCATCCGGGGCCTGTCCTGGCTGGCCCTTGGCAGGCTCCAGTCATTCTGAGAAAGTGAGGCACAGGCCCGGAGAGATGTGACGGGCGTAAGGACTCTTCCTGGTGCTCACAGAACCTCAGTCAAGCTCTCGCTCCTGCAGGAGTCACTGTGAAGAAGGGACAGGAGCTGGTGAACATCTACTGCCCCGTGGTGGTCTCCAGCGCAGGCCTGTTCAACACCTACGAGCGCTTGCTGCCCGAGAGTGCCCGCTGCCTGCCAGGTAAGGGCTGGTGTGCGCTGCTTATCTTCCACCCTGCTCAGCTGGGTGACACTGCCCCTCTTCTAGGCCACCTCTCCTACTGTCCTTAGCAGGGAGGTGAGAACTGTGGTCTGCACCTCACCATCCCAGCGTTTATGCTTGGGGAAACAGGTCCACACAGGCAAACTGACTTCTCATGGAGGCCCAGCTGGAAGGCAGAGCTGTCAGAACCCCAGGCTGTCAAAATCCTGACTCTCTAACCGGGCGGGGTGGCACACCCCTGTAATCCCAGCACTCCGGAGGCTGAGGCAGGAGGATTGCTGCAAGTTTGAGACCAGCCTGGGCTACAAAGAGAGCTCAAAGCTAGCCTGAACTGCTTCGTGAGACTCTATCTCAGATAAGACCAAAAAAAAAAAAAAAAAAAAATCCTGGCTCTCAGCACTTCCTGGTGGAGAGGTGCAGGGCTTCCGCTTCCTATAGGGGGCAGCCGAGCAGGTCAACCCAGAGGAGCAGCTCAGGATGCGCAGGATTGGTGGCTGTTAGTGGAGTCGGGAGCAAAGGGAAGGAGCTGCCCACCCTCTGGGGTAGATCCTGGAGGAGCTAGGGAGAGTGAGGTGCGGGGTTTCCTCGTGGGGGAGCAGGGGGCGGCAACTGTAATTGTCTCTAAGCTGAGCTTTCTGTTACTATGACAGAATTTCCAGACAACTTCAAAAGAGGAAGAGGTTTCTTTGGCTCTGGGTTTCAGAGGTTGCAGTCCATGGTCCCTCGGCCCTGGGCCTTGAGCTGGGGTGGCACAGTGCGTCACGGTGGGAGCGCCTGTGGAAGGAGGCCTGGTCACCTCATGGAGGCTGGGAGGCAGCCAGAGACGGGGGGCAGGGGCCAGGGGCCTAACGTCCCCTCCAAGGGCATGACCCTCCCCCAGTGACGTAACTTCCTCGCTTGAGGTCTCGCGCCTCGAAGTTCCAGCGCCTCCCAGAGGCCTTTAGTGCATGACCTGTGGGACCACTTACCCAAACCATAGCAGACTGGGGCCACCAAAAGCCAGTCTTTGACTCTTGTGCCTCACTCTGTGGGCCTCAGCCCGCATCTGACACCGTCAAGGCTCTGCTTTCAGCAGGGACTGCCCAGGGGCGCGGCAGGGACTGCCCAGGGGCAGGGTAGCATGGCCTGGGGTGCTGCCTTTGTCTTCCTATCCCTTCCCTTCCTTACTCAGTAAAGTTTACTTACTGGATGGTTTGTATTAAAGTTAACACCAGGATCCCAGCACTTAGGAGGTTGAGGCAGGAGGATTTCTGTGAGTTTAAAGCCAGCCTGGGCTGCATAGTGAGACCTTGTCTCAAAAACAAACAAACAAACAAAAAACCCCAAAAATGTTAGCACTGAAATCAAGGCTTTTAAGAAACTATGATTTGTGTGTGGCCTTTGTAAGTAGGTGTCATCTGCTGCTTTTGTTTTTGAGACAAGCTCTCACTATGTAGTTCAGACTGGCCTTTATGGGGAATCGAACTCAGGACTTCACACTTGCCAGGCAGGTGCTATGCCACTGAGCTATATTCCCTGGCCCCAGATTGGCCTTGAACTCACTGTGTAGCTTAGGCAGGTGTAGAACTCAGTGATCCTCTTGGCTCAGCCTCCCGAGTGCTGGAATTACAGGTGTGTACTACCACACCCAGCTGATGCTAACTCAAAGACTTCCATTGTTTATTTGTTTGGAAGCACATGGGGTTGAACTCGGGGCCTTTGCAGGCCTCACCTCCCCTTAAAATGTTTTGAGACAGGCTCCCGCTAAGTCTCTGAGTTACCCAGGCTGGGCCCAAATTTGCTATCCTCCCACCTTAGCCTCTTAGAGTGCCGAGACTACAGGCCTGTGCCACTGGGCGCAGCTGTGACTGAGACTTTAAAGGGAGGATCAACTTCTGCAGGTGTGCGGGCCAGCTGTGCTGTGAGCCAGTGGGGTCCCAGGGCTGTGTGTCCCCTGTGAATAAAGATGCACAGAGTGGAGACAGGTGGAATTAGGAGAGGCCTCTAAGGCTGTCTGACAGGAGGCAGCAAAAACCAGGCATCTGCCAAGCTCGTGAAGAAATGCTCGCAGAAATGGCTAGGAATGGTGATGCATGCCTATAGCCCAGCTACGAAGAAGGCTGAGGCAGGAGGATGGCAAATTCAAGGCCAGTTTGGGCAACTGAGTGAAACCTTGTCCAAGACAGGTGTAGCTCAGTGCTCCCTGGGTTCAATTTCCAGTGCTAAAGGGAGGGGAAAGGCCTGGACCCTGTCCTAGGCACAGCTGGAGAGCAAGCGTCCCAAGGCTGTGGGGGCAGGGAGCGGCCTTTCTGCCGCAGCTCTCATGGGCCTCGCCGCTCCACTTGCAGGCGTGAAGCAGCAGCTGGGGATGGTGCGGCCCGGACTGGCGACGCTGTCCGTCTTCATCTGCCTGCGCGGCACCAAGGAGGACTTGGGTCTGCAGTCTACCAACTACTATGTGTACTTTGACATGGACATGGACAAAGCGTAAGGCCCGTGCATGCGCATGGGGGCGTGTTGGGCCGGGCAGCGTGGGAGGAGGGCAGCTTCTGTGAGCTCCTGGAAGGGTGCTCCTGCCAGGGCCGTTTCTCAGCCTCGTCCCTGTGTGGAGTCCCAGGGGTGAAGTGCCCTTGGTGTTGGGAATGGTAGCCTTAAGGACATGGGCAGCGCCCTCCTCTCCCCCACAGGATGGAGCGCTACACCTCCATGCCCAGGGAGAAGGCCGTGGAACACATCCCCTTTGTCTTCATTGCCTCCCCATCCACCAAGGACCCGACGTGGGAGGACCGCTTCCCAGGTGGGCGAAGGGTCCAGCCGAGCTGGGAGGGCTGGCGGGGGCCAGGCAGCAGGGTGACCCGGCTCTGCACCCCCAGATCGGTCCACGATGATCGTGCTGTTGCCCATGGCCTTTGAGTGGTTTGAAGAGTGGCAGGAGGACCCGAAGGGAAAGCGGGGCACCGACTATGAGACACTCAAAAATTCCTTTATTGAAGCCTCTATGTCGGTGGTCATGAAACTCTTCCCACAGCTGGAGGGGAAGGTAGGAGTAGAGCACCGGTGGGGCGCCCACAGGCCCTTTCCTGAGGGTGGGGAGCCTCGCGGAGGTCACCGCGCCCCAGGGAAGGGCAGGGAGCCCATGGGGAAAGAGACGGGGATCTCACCAACCCCAATTCCTGTTCTTTTGCCTCCTCAGGTGGAGAGTGTGATCGGAGGCTCCCCACTGACCAACCAGTTCTATCTGGCTGCTCCCCGAGGCGCCACCTACGGGGCTGACCATGACCTGAGCCGCCTGCACCCGCGTGCGATGGCCTTGATGAGGGCCCAGAGCCCCGTCCCCAACCTCTACCTGTCAGGTACACCGCCCCAGGGGCCAGAGCTGAGACCCTGGGCCTCCCCGGGACCCCAAGTTCTTTGTTTCCATCCTCAGGCCCTGGGGTCCCCCTGCCCGCCCTCTGACGGGGTGACACTCAGCATCTGCTCTGCTCTCCTAGGCCAGGACATCTTCACCTGTGGGCTGCTCGGGGCCCTGCAAGGGGCCTTGCTGTGCAGCAGTGCCATCCTGAAGCGGAACTTGTACTCGGACCTCAAGGATCTTGGCTCCAGGATCCAGGCGCAGAAGAAGCAGCAGTAGTTTGGCTAGGGATCAGAGAAATCAGCACCTCCCGACTCACCCATACCGCTTTTCTGAATTTCACTGGCCTAGAATTCACTTTGCAGCCCAGGCTGGCCTCGAACTTGCAGCAATCCTCCTGCCTCAGCCTCCTGAGTGCTAGGATTACAGGTGTGCGCCACCATGCCCGGCTTGATTTGTTTCTGATTTAGGCTATCAATCAGTGTTTAGCTGTACCTCTTGCAGCTGAACAAATGATCTTTATACTGTTCACACACGCTCTTCTGGGCTGCTGCTCTGCACACCCACGATGGCCTGTCCTAAGTGCACTCTGGCTCCTCTCCTGTACCGCCTCGCTCTGGACAATCAAAGTGCAGGTTCTAGGGGTCAGTGTATAGAAGCTCGCAAAGTGCTGGCTGGCGGAAGCAGGTTGGTCCAGTCCTGCGGTGAGGTGTTTCCTCCTGTTTACTCTCCATGCTGTGCTGGATTCTACACTGTCACATGAGCGGGTGGTACCTAGTTCCCAATGTGCTGATGCCAAGATGCCCTCGGCCCTGTCCTCTGGGTTACACAGGGAAGGGCAGTGTCAGCAGTCAGGACAGACTGGCCTGAAGGAGTGTTCCAGATCCAGGGCATAGAGGATACTGCTGAAGTGACAGTGTCAGGACATCAGCCCAGACGTCCCCTGCCTGGCTGGGAGGAGGGCTGGGGTGAGGAGTCAGGACCAGAACACAGAAAGCCACCCACGTGTGGCATCTGCAGTTTGCTGGTACATATGCAGGTTAAGCATCCCTTTTCCACAGTGCTTGGGAAGGGAATTTCTGATTCAAGTTTTGGAATATGTGTATATACACAATGAGATATCTTGGGGACAGGACCCAGGTCCAAACACATCATTCATTCTGTTTCATATATACCTTCCTGAAGTAATTTTAAACAGTACTTAGCTGGGCATGGTGACACACTCCTGAAATCTCAGCACTTGGGAGGCTGAGGCAGGAGGCTGCAAGTTCGAGGCCAGCCTATAGTGAGTTCAAGGCCAGCCTGGACTATATAGTGAAACCTTGTCTCAAAACAAACAAAAACAATATTTAGATTATTTTGTATATTTTGGCTGTGACCAATTATTTAAATTATTCTGTACACTTTGGCTGTGACCAATCAGGTAACGTCATGTTGCCATTCAAAAAGCTTTGGATTTTAGAGCATTCTGAATTTCAGATTAGGGATGTTCAACTAGTGTGAAAGATGGGTGGGAAGGTGAGATAAAGGCTAAAGGTTAAGAAAAATAATGGCCTTACATTAGCCTTATTTTATATACCACAAATTTACACAGCACTAATAAATTTAATAAATCTCATTGTTTTGATATCTGAAATTTATTTTGGTTTCTGTTCAATAACACAAAACTACAGTGACGGCATTTACAGAAGCTCAGTAAAACGTCACATACTGAAAAATACTTATTAGACCACAATAAGCTTTAAAAAAATATAAAATTAAGTTACAAAAAGCTAAAAATATAAACCATAGCTAAACAGTGGCAATCTACTAATCAGGCAAACAGAAGGGAAACAATTTCAACAATCAAATGTTCATGTAACGTGGTCTCTCATGAATTACAGGACAATCTATCAAGAGCGTAAGGAGGCTGGCTTTGCTGGCAGTTTCCACACTATACAGCTCAGACCTGAACCCTTTACAGTTGAATGTCAGTATTAGCTCTGGATGAACAGTTAACATTAAATCTCAAAAAATTGCTTTCCGGCACCCTGAAGCAAGGCAGTGCCGAACTCAACCTTCCCAGCAAGGGTTCTCGGGAACCAGCCCGGTGGAACCGCAGGTCTGGTGTACGGCACACCTCCCTCCACGTTCAAACGTTTCGGAACATGCATAAAGTGCTCTAGCTCTCTTCACATCCGGCATCATGTACCAAGTTACCCTGTGAAAACAAGGACTGGAGAAGGAAATGAACATAACCACGGGGAATTTTGCAGGTATGGGGCTCTATCACTGTTTCATGAAGAGCCATCGTGGAGAAAAAGAATGTCAGTACATACAATTACTTGTCAGGTTTTTTTCTGAGTGGTGTGAGCCTTTCTAGATGTTCTGGCCTTCAACCTGCCAGAATCCAGAACGCTAAATAATCTACTCAGTAATCTGCAGCAAGAAAACAAGTTCTATCAACATGCGTGACTCCAGGCTGATACCCCCCAGCAGGAATTGCCCTTCAACCCAAGCAGGGGCAGGAGAGGACGCCCACGCTGTCTGCAGGGAGCCAGTGGCCCTGTGTGCTTCCAGCCAGCCCACGCTCATCCGCACCGCAGGTTTCCTTTGGTGGGAGAGACTTCCTCCAGTGCACTTCCGGCACAAGTAGTGCTACTTCTCAGGGCCTCAAAGCGTTGAGCCCTGTGGACTCCGCGACACTCGCCAACCTTCCTGGCTTCTGAGACCAACTTATCTTCCTGTTCTGTTTAAGAGCAAAAGCCAACACGTGTGAGGTCACAGCATCCAGTAGCCAGAAAGCTGTTCTTCCTCACTGAAGCCACACAAGGGGACAACTCCTGACGTGCCTAAGGAATGTCACTATGCTAGCAGCGGTACGGTGCCAAGGGCTGTCTCTCCAGAGCGAGGATTTCTCGGGGAGACCAGAGTGAAAGCACACACTGATTGCCCTGTCCCACTGAAGTTCCAAAATGAGCAAGTGGTATTACTAAGAGCTGCTGGAGTAGAAACGAATGAGCCAATCTCGTGGCGGGGGTAGTCAGGAAGGGATGGAAAACAGGCTGGGCCCTGAACAAATGGGGATTTGGGGACAGCAAAAGATGGGAGAAAACCTAAAGAACTATGGGAGGCTGGGAAATGCAAGAGTAAGGATAAAGGCACAGTCAAAGGTGGACACCCAACACGAGGGAGCTTTGGCTTCCGTGAGAGGCAGCAAGAGACAGGAAGGTGTCGTTATGCAGAGTCCTGAATGCCATAGTTCATAACTTGATCCTCTTTAAGCCATGAAAGGTCCAGACAGAGGCTTCTGTCTGTTTCTGGAAACATCAGTGTTTCCAAGATTATCTTTCTGAAATGATGGACAGGAGAACCAATTAAAATGATTCCTGAAAAAAATACTCAATAGAAAGGTAAAATGGTTGGGAGTGTGGAACAGGGGAAGCAAGGCGAATGCAAAGGCAGATTGTAGCTGGAAATATGGGCAGTTGAGAGGAGTTCAATAGGTAGAAGAGAGAAATCCAATTTGGAGAGACAACAGGATATCCTAGCTGAACCACCTGGCATATCGTAGGCCTCAGTTCTTTGGGAAGTAGGCCAAGATAAAAAGAGAAGGCTCTTTAGAGAATGAGAAATGGATGCGTTTTTGAAGAGACAGTGAAAGGAATGGAAACCTGGCTCTGAGAATCTCTTCCTCTCCAGCAGAGGAAAAGGCACAGGTCAGAGTCAGAGACACCAAGAAAGGGAGGTGTCCACACGTGTGGTCAGCAGCATCCGATTCTATGAAGTACTGAGAACAAGCCATTGGATCTGGTGACCTGGTAAATGCCTAACTGTGGAAACAGGGACCACGGTGAGTATGTATGCAAAAACCACGAAGAGAACGAATGGCAAAGTAACAGAAGCGACACTTCGGGAGCAGCGGAAGAGTGGCATGACAAACGGCACTGGTGGGAGCTGGGGAAATCTGGGCACACAGGAGGGCCAGAGGGAAGGTGCTAGTGTAGACGGGCACCAACAGAAAACGCTAGAGGGCACACAGGGAAAGGCAGACAGAGCGGGGAATAAAATAACTAGTGTCCAAGGGAATGCTGGAGGAGCCTGAGAGGATTCCTCTGGTCGGAAGGAAGTAACATGAAGACTGCACAAGCAGAGGGAACGATGCCAAGGCGAGTATGCGCCCACCCCTTAGCCCCAGCAAGTATACTACCGGCCAAGAACGGACACTTCAACTCCGTGCCCTGGGCTGCAGTCAGCCAGTGGGCAGCTGACAGGCAGGCTGTTCTCTTCAGACTGCCTTCCTCCACGGCACAGTGGATCTATCTCCACCCTCCCACACTCCTGGCACGTCCCTGAGATTAGCTGAGCTACAGCTCTCTCTCTCTCTCTCAATTCTGGGGCAGCACGAGTAGAACAGACTGAAATAAAACTTCAAGGTGTGATCCAAGACACTACTCTAAGGTACCCCAGGGGAGCCCACTGGGTTTCTTAAATTTAATGACCCTTGACATGGCATAGCAGGAGAATTTTTACTAATTATCCTTGGCATCTCAGATGAAAGGACCATTAAGATTAAGGTAAAATGGGCAGACAGGGCAGTTAAGTTTCTAAATATAAATCTGTTTTATTTTAGGCAATAAAAACAAAATGGGAGTTTGTGGGAAACTTGTTTCATAAAAGCCCTTTGAGAAGAATCCGGGCCAAAACCCTCTTACGTTTTCTTGTGCAGAGTGTGAATCTGCCCTTTGCAAAGAAGTTCCTCTTTCAACATGCAGCCGTATTTCTCAAAATCCCGAAAGGAACAGCAGCTCCGCCTACAGAAGCCTCAGGCTCAGGTTCGTGTTCAGTGCTACCGAACAGAAGCTGACGCACTTTGTCCCAAGTGATATGAAGTCAGAAAAACGGGGAGGACTTACGCTAAGTGAGTTGGACCTGCAGGCAATAAAGCACTTTTTAACCCGCTGCTCTGGGTTGCTGGTGAAGCCTCTGAAGAGAATCATGTGCTCTTAGTAGCCCTCTGCCCTCCAGTACTTCACCATCTTCTACACCCTGAGACCTTCGGCGCCTCTGCCTGCAGCCCTCCTACATCTGCAGAGAAACTGCGGGGAGGGCAGTGCCGTGGTCAAGGGCTAACTTCACTACACGGCCACACAGCCAAGGTCAGGGGACAGTGGACAACAGCGCAGCCTGGGGCGTCCCTTTGGTCTCAGCCGTGTTTCCACACGCTCCCTCAGCTCACAGTCGGAGAAGGAACGGATGGATGGATCACGTCAGCGTAAACACAGGGCACGCAGAAGTACAACACCACCAAACTCCAGGTGCCAAACCCAAAGCAACGGCCCCCACCTCTGCCAGACTTCTGCCATCAAACCCCGAGGTCACATTGCTTTTTTCTTCATTTTTCTTGATTCGGAAACAAATCAGCAGGGAGGACAAGGTTCTTGTAGTTACAAATCAAAGCTGAAATGAGAGCAACAAAGTGCACTGGTTACGTTTACCTTTTTCTAGCAGACTATGCCACCACACTGCTGATCCTATAGCAACTGCAGTTGAAGAAAAGATGTAGAATTAAGACAATCTGATCCATCAGCATAAGATACAATTTACAGGAATAAGGGCTGGAGATGTAGCTCAGTGGTAAAGTGCTTGCCTTGCATGTGCAGTGCTGTTCCCCCCAAAAAGACTAGTTTTATTTTTACCTTTTTGGTGGCACTGGGGTTTGTACCCAGAGTCTTGCACACGCTAGGCAGGCACTGTATCACTGAGCTACAACCCCAGTCCTTTTCTTAAAAAATGTTTGAGGCAGGGTCTCATTAAGTTGCCTAGGATGGACTTGAACATGTGATCCCCTACTTCAGCCTCTGGAGTAGCTAAGCTTACAGGTATGCACCATGCCAGAACATTCATGAGTCTTGCTGGGTGTGATGACACATGCCTGTAATCCCAGGACTCAGGAGGCTGAGGCAGGAGGATTACTGTTGAGTTTGGGGCAAGCCTGGGCTACACAGTAAAACCTTGTCTGAAAAATAGAAAAATAGGGTCAGGTGTTGTGGCACATGCCTATAATCCTAGCACTGTGGACGCTGAGGCAGGAAGATCGCTGTAAGTTCAAGACCAGCCTGGGCTACAAAGTGAGTTCAAGGCCAGCCTGAACTGCATAGTAAGACCCTGTCTCAAAAAGACAGAAAAACAGAAAACATTTGAGTCTCACTCACAGTATGAAAATGTACACTAGAAAAAAATATACTTGACAGAGGAAATATGGAAATCCTGGCTTCTGCTTTATACTCTCATATAATATTTTAAAATACTTAAATATTTTATTTCCAGCGGGGTGGAGGCACCATTATGATGAATGAAAAAAAGCCTAATTGTCAATTATCAGGGATAGCAGTGGCCTAGTTATTAGCAAAGATATTTTGAGTGAAGTGGCTTAATCTGTAGCTTGTATGAGTTGCACAAATGAGCTGTGTTCCCTGCAGGAAGTCTGGAACAATTCACAGCTGGCCACTGGCAGTTCTTTACCAACGCCCTCCCTGTCGCTGAACAGAATGGAGCAGGAAAGGTGCGTGCCAGCAGGAGCCGGAAGGGGAGTGCAGACTTCCTGCTGAGACAGGTCTGCCCCACCCCCACCAACCAACTGTACTCAGCTCCTGATGTTGGGGGAGGAGGGCTATTGTCCCTGACAGAGGCAGACTAGCCACACTCAAGAGGTGCAGCCCACAGAGCTGGATGCAGGGCGTGATCCAGGCAGCAGGAGGCCTACGTGCCTCTGGACTCACCTGAAGAGCGCAGCCTAGTGTGATGCCACCTCAAGTGTGGATCCCTGAGTGTCTGGTCTTCTGGGAACTTCCTAGAAGTGTAGCTACACCAGCTCCACCCCAAATGCAGTATATCAGATTTTACTTTCTACCCCATTTCCCAAGGTGACTCATATGCCTATTAAAAGTTTGTGACCAGGTGGTGTACAGCAAAAAGCCTAGGCCTGGGCATCTAGGGAGTTGCTATTGGGTACTGATCTTGAATGGAAACCTAGGAAGGAAATGACAGTATTTTGGGGCACGCTTGTCCCTCAAGAAGGGAGCTGTAGTAAGGACCGGTCTCTTCTAATTCTGACTTAGTAGATACATATACGGCATGTGGATGGTTCTAGTTTGCAGTCTGAAAAAGGTGGAAGGAATAACAGGAACACCCCAGCATTAGCTGCTGCTACTACACCAAATGCTAGCCCATTGCTGTGCCTGTCTGTCGCACATCCTCCTGGGAACATGGCTCCTTCCTTACCTTGAGGTTCAAACGCTGGTAGTCACTGGCTTTGGGTCGCCGAGTGACCTTGGATCTTTTTCCTTCCAGGGCAAAAGCAATAATCTAGAAAAAGCAAAAAGAAAAGGATTAAAGGGTAGCTCTGTAATTGATGTATTTCAGTCTCCAAAACTGGAGGCAGTCACCTGGCAGTACATTTCTTAATGACCCTGGTTGAAGAAATAGGAGGACACCCACAGAGAGGCCTAAACCTTGTGTGCGTGGTGCTGGGGATCACATGCCCCACCTGGTAGCCAAGGGCCCTATCAGGTGGCAGTGTAGCTCAACTGTACATCCTGGAGCCCTTGAGTTCAATCCTCAGCACCACACACACAAAAAAACTGTAATTATCTTAGAAATGGGTCCTAATCACATCAGAAAGCTGCTGAATAAGAAATGACAGATGGAGGAAAGCTGTGCTGGGCTTGAGCTTGTGGAAATCTGTTTCATCTGATTAGGGTACTCAGGCAAAGATCTGCCAAATACTCCCCCAGAGCGTTAGCATAGGCCATTCCTTTTCTTAATTTATAAATCACAATCAGTAATTTTTTTCTGTCTACAAACGCACTTCTTAGCCCCTTAGCTTTATCAACTGTTTTTTTTTTTTTTTTGCAGGGGTGGGGGGTGGTGCTGGGATTAAGGAATCACACCTTCTAAGCAAACACTCTACCACTGAGCTATATCACCAACCTAAGGTTTTTTTTTTTTTTTTTTTTTTTTTGAGACAGTGTCTCGCTATGCAGTTCAGGCTGGCTTTAAGCTAACTTTGGAGCCCAGCCTGGTCTCAAACTTGCAATGATCCTCCTGCCTCAGCCTCCAGAGTGCTGGGACTACAGGCATGTCCCACACCTGGCTTTTTTAAAATTCTGAGACAGTCTCATTAAATTGCCCAGACCGGCCTAGAACTTACATCTTCCTGTCTCAGCCTCCTGAACAGCTAGGACTGTAGGCATGCCCCACCACACCCAGCCATAAACTCTTAACTTCACTACTCTCATTATGAACACTTGGATAGAGAATAAAGAAGGCACATTTTTACTACTCTCTTGTCCTTATCTTTTATAGCCACAGGCCTGATAGCCACCATGAACTGAACTCTCCAGGTTTAACCAAGCTGCTGAACCAAATCTCCTAAATTCTCAGGGCTCAAACAGAAAATGCAATCATTTAGACTGGTCGCTAAGGGGAAGAGTATCACTTCATACCACACGTTGCTAAATAAAAAGATGCATAAGCCTGGTACAGTGGCACATGCCTGTAATCCTAGCACTAGGAGACTGAGGCAGGAGGATTGCAGGTTTGAGCCCAGTCTAGTCAACCAAGCAATGTAGCAAGCTCCTATCTCAAAATAAAAAATAAAAAAAACCTGGGGATGTAGCTCAGTGTGACAGCCAGAGTTCAATCCCTAGTAACCACCTACCCACACACCCCCCCACCAGAAAAGTGAGAATCTATAATTTCTGGGATTTCTTCTTTTTTGGTATATATGCTGCTGAAGCAAGCACTCTGGGCTTTCTTCTAACTCCCACTAATTGCAGAAGAGAGTCCTTGGGCTCTTTGCTGTTCACATTTAACTGAAACTGTTCTGCCAATACAGATGGAAAATAATTGGGAAAGGAAGCTAGAAATAATATGCTATGTCAAGCACGGAAAAGGGGACAATAAGAGCTCCACGTATCAAGCACTCTGGTCCACTGAAGCTGTGAAGGTCCTAAGTGCAAGGACTGGGGAGATCCCATTTTAGGTCAGGTCACATCCATGTCCTGATTTGACACCTAATGCAGCAATACTCAGAGGAAACAGCTCACGTGATGAAAGCGTGATTTACAAGCAAAAGCACCCTAGCAGGGTTTGTCTTAAAATCCCCCGCGCTCACAGGCAGCCGGGTGATAGCTACCTAGCACACTTTCAGGGTGGAGGAAATTCCCTTCCTTTCTCTGAGGCTTTTGCTGACTTACCTTCCGCTTGTTGTGATAGGCAATATAGAGGACAGCGACAAGAATGGCTGCGGTCACCAGATACGCGAAGAAGTGGCTGCTCTCCGCACTGGCACTTCTAGGGGTATTATAAAGGTCGCCCTTCTCACTATTCACGGAATCCAAAAGTGTCCCTTCCCGGGTTTCACTGGAGGCAGGCCCTGGCATCTTTCCTTTCTCTTCTTCAGGAGGCGATCCCTCCTCCGCCCCTGCATCGCCTTCTTCCGCCTCCTTGACGTCCACATCTTGAACAGTCTCTGCAGATTTGTCTTCTCCCTCCTGCCCGGGACCAGAGGGGTTGGAGTCCACTGTCTCTTCAGCCTGGGACGCGCGGGGCGAGGTCTCTCCCTTCTCAGGCAGTTGGGTTTTTTCAATCTCCGGGCCGCCCTTGCTGCCAGCGGAGGGGTTGGACACGCGCTTGGAGCCTTCTTGTGTGGACTGCGGCACCGCGTCCACCTTGCTGGGGTTTGGTTTTGCGGTCTGCGGCTCTTCGGACCTACCGGGGTCTTGTCCTGGGGGCGGCTGCCGCGCCTGCGCCCCGTCTGGGTCTGGTTGAGTGGACTGCGGCGCCTCGGCCCTGCTGGAGTCCGGTTTTGGGGACTCCTGGGCCTCTAGCGTGCCAGGTTCTGCGTTCTTGGGGGTTTGCTCTTTCAACTCCGACCCGTCTGGGTTTGGCTTCAGAGACTGCGGCGCCTCGGACTTGGGGGGCGCTAGCTTCCGGGAGGACTGCTGCAGAGCTCGCGAACTGTCAGAGTTTGGGTTCTGTGGGGGCTGCTGCGCTTCCGACTTGTGAGGCTGTGGTTTCGGGGGCGGCTGCCCGCGCGCCTCCGACGGGCCTCGGTCTGCTCCCGCGGGTGGCTCCCCCGACCGAGGCCGCGGATCTCCCGAACGAGACAGCGGGGTCGCGGGGGAGGGGCTGCAGGCGCCGCCGTCCGCAGGTGACTGAGGCGCAGCCGTCCGTTGCCCGGTGCTGGAACTTGGTTTCGGGACTGGCGGCGACGCAGGCGGCTGGGCTACAGAAACAGGAAACCAGTGAGGGCGGGGGCGGGGCCGGCGGGAGAAGAGCAGGGCACTCCGGGCGCTGGGGACACCGAGGGCGAGGGGCGAGCTCGGGAAGGGCGAGCGGGAGCGAGAGCAAGCGGAGGGCTCCGCACGACAGGGAAAAGGCAGGGGCAGATGGCGGCTGGAGGGGTGAGTGAAGGGGACCGGCCCGGGGACGACAGTGGGGTAGGAGGGGAGGGGGGGTCCTTACCCGCCACTGCGACACTCAGCAGGAGCAACGCAGCTAGGAACCGCATCCTGTACACACTGCGCTTCCGCTCTCCACTGCTCTCGCGAGAGCCCCGCTCAGGCCCCGCCCAAAGCACCGCCCCTTCCGGTGCTCGCCTCCCCGCCCACCTCGGAGCCTGTGAGAGAGGTGTGACGAGCTTCCGGGAGGAGGTCGGGCTCTGCTGTATCCTTGGCGTGGTACCCGCTTGTATACTTGGCGTGGTACCCGCTACAGACCAGCATCCCCTTTTCTCATCACTCCTTGCACTTCTGGGCGGGCCACAGAGTGCGAGCCTGGCGCCCGATCCCAGTTCTCCGCCCGGAACTCTGGCCTCGTCCTTTCGTGTGCTTTCCGCACAGCATCCCCAAACCCTCTGTGTTCAGGTCTTTGCTATCCAAAAACAGACGCATCGTCATCTTCGTAGCAGCAGTCTGCTTCCTGGCTCTCCTTCCCGACGACCTAGTGGAAATAGGTCGCCAAAGATCATTTCTAAAAAGTGTTTCCTTTGATCATAAAAATCTAAGAGAAAAGAAAGCGTGACGGGATAGTCACTGTTAATGCTTTAGTATATTTTCTGCCTTCCAAACATTTGAACATTCTTAATGGTTCAAAAATCAAACCATGACTTTAAAAGAAACATACATTAGAAGATTCTTTTTTTTGTCTTTCTGAGACAGGGTCTCACTATGCAGTTCAGGCTGGCCTTGAGCTCACTTTGTAGCCTAGCCTGGTCTCAAACTTGCAACAACCCTCCTACCTGAGCTTCCTGAGTGCTGGGATTACAGACGCGCCATCACACTCGGCTTTGTTTGAAAATTCTTGCCAGGGTCGGGGATGTAGCTCAGCAGCACAAGGCCTACCTGGCCAGCCCAAGGTCCTGAGTTTGATTCCTGGTACAAAAAAACAAAAAACAAAAAACAAAAAACACAACTACTCATGTCCATCTTACTATTTGCATTAGTTTATTGTGTTTTCGTTTTGTTTGTTTGTTTGTTTGTTTTTCTGTTGTATGTGTGCCTTAGGAACGGAACCCAGGGCCTCCTGCCCCATATATAGTTTTTAGAAACAAATACAATGTACTCATTTTCTTTTCCTTCTTATTTTGTGTTTCTCTTTTTTCTGCACATGTCTGTTTTCTCCCTCAGTTGGGCTTGTTGGGTAGGTTTGTGTCCCATCCCATTGTTACACTCTGCGTTTAAACATTGTGTTGCTTGAAATCTTTTTTTTTTTTTTTTGAGACAGAGTCTTGCTGTGTAGCTCAGGCTTGCCTTGAACTCACTATGTTGCCCAGGCTGGCCTCAAACTCATGACAATGCTGCTGCCTTAACCTTCCAAGTGCTGGGGTCACAGGTGTACAACCACCATGCCTGGCTTGAAATAATTTTTTGTGGACATTTGCCAGGCTAAATGTTTTGTAGACAGTGATTTTTAAGGGGCTGGGGATTTAGCTCAGCGGCAAAGCACCTGCCTGGCAAGCGCAAGGTCGTGAGTTCGGTTCCCGGTACTGGAGAAAAACAAAACAAACCAAAAAAAACAAGCAGACAGTGATTTTTAAAATGATAGATTTCAGCCGGGCTCAGCAGCAAAAAACCTAAGTCCCAGATATAGGAGAGGTTGAGGCAGGAAGATGGCCTGTGCCTGGAAGTTTAGGGCCAGCCTAGGCAACACCCTCTCTCAAATGATAGGCTTTAAACTCACAGAGCATATAACCTAGTGAGGCACATATATATTAAAGTGTGTGTGCCGGGCGTGGTGGTGCATGCCTGTAATCCCAGCACTTGGGAGGCTGAGGCAGGAGGATCGTTTCGAGTTCAAGACAGCCTGGGCTACAAAGTGAGCTCAAGGCCAGCCTGAACTGCATAGCGAGACCCTGTCTCAAAAAGACCAAAAAAAAAAGTGTGTGCGTTTTGAAAATGCATGCATGCATTTCAAGAATGCCAAGAATGGGAAGGATGCATCAGTTGAGGAGAGAACCTCTGTAGCTGAGGGCTACAGGCTGTAGGTGTCCCCCGTGAGGTTGAAGGGAAGAGGAGGGTGGGCTTCCTCTGCTGGGACTACAGCGTGTGCAGTGGGCTGTGGACGGGTGGGAACCTAGTGTTCTGTGTGAATCTAAAGACCAGGCTTATAGATAACAGCAAGGAGAATAGCAAGGAATGAGGCTGGAACAAGGCCAGGTTAAATGTTCCTTTTATTTATTTATTTATCTTTTTTTTTTAATTTTTCTTTTTTCTTTTTTTTTGGTACCGGGAACCAAACTCAGGACCTTGTGCTTGCCGGGCAGGCGCTTGTGTCACTGAGCTATATCCCTGGCAAGGCCAGGTTAAGGAACAAAGGATCTGGGAGTTTTCCAGAACCTAAATTTATTTTTATTTTTTAATGAGTGCATTTTGCAGTACATAACTGTTTACATTCATCACTGGGAACTGGTACATGCATATCACAATCTTAATTCTTTTTTCATCTCCCCCTCACATAAATTTCTGTGAGACAAAAAAGTACAATAGAAAATATACCCAGCTGGGCATGGTGGCACACACCTGTAATCCCAGCACTCGGGAGGCTGAGGCAGGAGGATCTTGCTAGTTTAAGGCCAGCCTGGGCTACAAAGTGAGCTCAAGGCCAGCCTGAACTGCATAGTGAGACCCTGTCTCAAAAAGACAAAAAAAAACATGAAAAGCAAAGGAAAAGAAAATATACCAATTTACCAGTTAACTCTGTTTGAACTGTAAACCGGTGCAGCACCTGCCCAAAAGGATGACGGCCACTGGGGGAAGTAACACTGCTCTGTGGGCTCAGAGTGTGGTATTTGTTACATGAGATACAGTTCTAGCTGGTTGAAATTATTCTGAATTTCAAAGACTAGTACATGTACAAATATAGTTTTCAGGAACAAGTGCTTTGTTCTTCAAATTAGAAACCCTTTAATAGGCTCCTTTTTTCAGATCATTTTCTTTATTAGTACATGGTTGTAGTACATAGTGTTTGCTGGGAGCAAAGCTGTCCACACCTAGGGTATCTAGGACAAGGCCACTGCCTCTCGTGACTTTGGCAGGGCCCCACGAGAAGTGTGCACAGCCCAGGGAATGGACGCACAAAGTGACCTGGCCTTTCCCTGGGGTGGTATAGACAGCTCCTCTCTTGTTCTCCATGTAACCACCAAGGCATGAGGTTTTGTTGAAGATTAGATGTTCTTCCTGTTCCAGATCTTAGCCCTTCCTTAGATTCTTTGTAAACAGCCTCCTATGCTGATTGTATAAGTAAATGCGCTGCAGTCCTTGGGCAGTCCTTTCTCCATCAGGAGAGGGGCTCCACCTGATCTCAGCTTTCTGACTTCTGACTCTTGTCTTCGTTTCGTCATCCTCCACTGTCCTCCCTCCGGAGTCTTAAGAGCTGCACTGGATGCAGCAAATGTTCAAATTCCTTGGGTGGAATTGGTCCATGTACATAACACACCTTCATTTCTTTTTCATCCCCTTTCCCTATCCTCCCGCTCTCTTAAACTCACACACACACACACACACACACACACACACACACACACACTCATTACTGAAGAGAATAAGATTTTTCAGCTGAGCATGGTGACTCATGCCTGTAATCCCAGCACTTGGAAGGCTGAGGCAGGCGGATCTCTTTGAGTTTGAGGCCAGCCTGGATATATAGTGAATTCAAAACTAGTCTGAACTACATAGTGAGACCCTGTCTCAAAAAAAAAAAAAAAAAAAAAAAAGACAGAATAAGATTTCTCACAGACAAATCTTTCACCACATTATTTCAGGCCTGTGGGTTTAGCTCTGTGGTAGAGTGCTTCCCTCTCTAGCACCACGAAAAACATCCCCCCACCACTATTTCACAATGTCAATTCTGCTTTGGCTAAAAGGAAGTGAATCAGCAAATGAATTTGTTTCTAAAAGAAAATTCTCTCTACCCACCTTCAGTAAATGTTTAACCAGCCTTTAAGGACATGGGCTTAGTTAGCGAGGGGGGGTGCGTGTGGTGGGGGAGGACAATGGCAAATTGTTCAAGACTGACCTGTGTCCACATTACTAGGCAAGGGAGCAAAGGAGTCCAGATTGTGCAGAGCTTCCGCAACATGCCCAGGCTTTGCGGTTTGGCTTAGCAGTAATGACAGGCCATTAGAAGGGTGGCAGGAGGGGCGAGATACAGACAGAGTTGGTACTGCTTGGATATTACCCCGGTTGTGTATGAGGAATCCGCTTGGGTGGGGAGCGGGAAGCGGATTTTCGAGTTAATCATTGAGGAGAGTGCTGCAGTAGTCCACGTCAGGCTGGCACAGGCACAACGGACGCGGAGGGTGGAGGCCACCCGAGAGCAGTGTGGGAGGGGTGATTAGGACGAGGCCAGGCCTGCTGGGCAGGGGCGCGGGTAGGACCTTTCCTCCGGGTGTGAGGGAGAGGGGCTGAGGGCACGGCCTGGCTCCCGGGCCTCTTTATTCGGGATGGGTGCGGGAGGGTGCGGGTGGAGATGTCAGAGAAGTAGTTGGCAATTCGAATGTGAAGGTCGAGGGCATGTTCAAAACACCGCTGCTGATGGTTTCATAAACAGTAATTTATGAGTTTTTTGTAACTGATTTTTTTTTTACTATCGGACATCTAGATTTCAGTTTTCCGACGGGAACTTTGTCAGTGCTGGTGAGGTACATTCTAAGATGAAGCAAAGCTCAAAAACTGACCAGTTTTCTGACGGTCAAGTTATTTTGTTATCAGGCCTTTAAGTAGAGACTGTTTTTTTGAGACAGGGTCACACTATATTGCCTGGATTGGTTGGTCTTGAGCTCTTGGGCTCAAGAGATCCTCCTGCCAGTCAGGTGTGGTGCATACCTGTAATCCCAGCCCTTGGGAGGCTGAGGCAGGAGGATTGCCATCAGTTGGAAGTCAGCCTCAGCTATGTAGTGAGTTCAAGGCCAGCCTGGTGTACATAGTGAAACCTGTCTCAAAAAAAAGAAAATAAACAAAACCAAAAAAGACCCTTTCGCTTCTGCTTCCTGAGTAGCTGGGACTGCGGACAAGCACCACAGCAAACAGCTAGCAGTGGGTATTCTAGTCTTTTTTTTTTTTTGTGGTACCGGGGATTGAACTCATGACCTCTCGGCTTGCCAGGCAGGCACTTACGCCATTGAGCTACATCCCCAGCCCTGGTATTCTATTTTTAATCCACCAAACTAATAGGAGAAAAATAATCTCTGACTGTGATTCTTTATTTTTTATGATTCTTTAATATGTAACTGCAAAAATAACTCACATGACCATGGACAATTTACTTAATTGCTTTAACTATTAGTTTCATTATGAAATGGGGATACAACATTTGGGAGGCTGAGGCAGGAGGATCATTGCGAGTTCGAGACCAGCTTGGGCTACAAAGTGAGCTCAAGGCCAGCCTCAACTACATAGCGAGACTATGTCTCAAAAAGACAAAAAAAAAAAAAAAAAAAAAAAAAAAAAAAAAAGAAATGGGGATAAAAATGTTGAGCCTTAGATAATTCATGTGAAGTAGTGTTTAACATGGTATGTAGTATATAATTAAGGTTACAAAATTTATTATTATAATAATATGTGTATTATACAAAAATTAGAAAATGAAGGCAATTTATGTGAAGGTAATTTGTATAAAGAAAATAAAATATCTTTAATCTAAAAGTATTATCATGTATATATATATATATTTCGTGTGTGGTTGGAGATAGACCCAGGGCCTGTACACACCAGGCAAGTGCTCTACTACTGAACTGCATCTTCAGCTCCATTTATTTACTTTTAAATTTTGAGTCAGGGTCTCACTACATTGCCCCAGACTGGCCTCATCCTTTCTGTCATCCTCTGAGGTTTTCCGATAGTCACAGAGTTGAGTGTTTCTAGAAAGAAAGTCAAGTCAAGTCTTAAACATAGCATGGAGTCGAAGTAAGGACTGTTTTTTAAAAAAATTTTCTTCAGTGCTGGGGATTGAATCCAGTGCCTTGTGCATGCTAGCAAGTGTTCTACCACCGGCCTAAATCCTCAACCCTTAAGTAAGGACTTAGATAGTTCAGTGGCATGCTGGGAGCCAAGCCTGCTTCCAGTGGGTGAGTGGTGAGGAGGGTAAGCAGAAACTACCTGATACCTGCCGTACACAAACAGCTCTCAGTGACCAAACCATTTCCCTGACAAAATCAAACAAATCCAAGTTCAGGTAGTATAGACAGTCCAATAGGTTGGCTTTTTATTTATTTATTTGCTTGAGGTGGTAGGTGTTGAATCCAGGACCTTTGCACTGACCTATATCCCTAGCGCTTTATCTTTTATTTTGCAACAGGGTCTCACTAAGTCACTAAGCTGCCCAGGCTGGGTTCATGTTTGCGATCTGTCCACCTCACCCTCCCAGGGTGCTGGGCTCACAGGCGTGTGCCACCTTGAAAGGCCACAGGATTTGAATCCAATTGGTCAGTCTTTGTTCAGGGGCTGAGGCACTTAAAAGCAACAGTTCACTGCAGAATGATGTGATTTAAAACTGTATCCAGGGGACTGGGGATTAGCTTAGCGGCACAGCACCTGCCTGGCAAGCGCAAGGTCATGAGTTCAATTCCCGGTACCAGAAAAAACAAAAACAAAAACAAAAACAAAAAAAACCAAACCAAAATTAAAACTGTATCCAAGGTGGACCCCTGTAATCCCAGCAGTCTGGGAGGGTGAGGAATGCAAATTGAATCCCAGCCTGGCAATTTAGGAAGACTCTCTCAAAATAAAAAATATAGAAAGGGCTGGGGATGCAGCTGTGTGAAGGCCCTAGGTTCAATCCCCAGTATTGGAAAAAAAAAAAAGAAAAAAAAAAAAAAAAAAAAAAAGAAAAAAAGAAAAAAAGAAATGAGGTATCCAATCTATTTAACTGGCCCCCAACTCCACAACCTACTTGGACTGCCCCCAAATGCCAGTGACCGGCTGTGTCACAGTGACTCCATGAACCGGTGCCTACTTACCCGAAACTCACTAGCTAGAAAGAACCTCTCATGGGACGCCTGCTAGACTAACACCTGGACTCCCACAAAGCTTGGGTCCACCCGTGCTTTCATTTGTCTCTTGTTCTTCACCCACTGGTTGGGTGTATGTAGAGCGGCCCAGGTGGCTGGGTGAGGGAACTGTTGTCCTGTGAGGCATGCTGGCCTCTTCCCTCTGGTCCGCAATAACCCTGTGTCGGCATTCGTTCTGCTGTGCCGGGCCGACTGTCTTTTCTCCCGGAGAGCAGCCATCGTGGTGGGAGCAGACTGGCCCAGGTCAGATGGAGCCACGCGGCATCTTTCACTATACACAGGTTTCCTAGAATGGGACACCTGGCCAGACACTTAGGCATCAGGCTGAGTGCCAGGATAAAGAAGTCACACTGCACACATCTGTGACCGCCTTTCCGGGGCCCCGCAGCGCACAGCTGGAGTTTACAGTCACCCCTGAGACCTCAGGTTAGTGAAAAGCACGATGTACAAGGAAATGTGTCTGGCCAGAAAAGGGAATGAAATTCTGAATCATGCTACAACATAGGTGAGCCTTGGAAATATGACACGAAAGGAAAAGTACTGTATGTTTCTACCTGTATGGAGCATGAAGTGCGAGCTGCCGGGCTTAACCCCTAGCATCACACACAAAAGACACTGTCCACTTTTCTTTTGTTGTTTTGCTGCTGGGGATTGAACTCGGGCCCTCTTCCATGTTATGCAAGGCTACCATTGAGCTACACCCGTTCTGTCCACTATTTTTTTTTTTTTTTTTTTTGAGACAGGATCTTGCTACATAGCCCTGGCTGGCCTTGCACTTGCTGAGCTCCCGCCTCGGCCTCCCAAGTGCTAGGAGACAGGCGTGCACCGTCACACCCAGGCTGTCCACTATTTTAAATGGAAAATATTGTCACTTTAAATGAGTCAAATGCATTAACTGCACTTTAATAATAAATCTATTACCAAAACCATTAATTGCAGTTTAAGATACTTTGAAAAGCGTCACATCAAAGCTGCCCCTCACATCTTGGCAACCGTAAGACATATGAGGGCATGAAGCATACAATAAATGTCTTCTAGGTGGTGAACTGGTTTAAATTAACTGTAGATAAAGACCCTGCGATCAGCACAGCTTGGTCTGTGTATACATGAGCCTGGCAGTTGGACTGTATTTTTTTTTTTTTTTTTTACATTTCTCACCAACAGGTGGTTTGCAAACCTTAGGCCTTGGTGGCTTCATTCAAGGAAAGAACTGAAAAAACCAAAACACTCAGAGAAGGTCTTGCAACTTGCAATTTTATTTTCTTTTGTGAAAATAAACAACTGGGAGTTAAAATTGCTCCAAAAACCATAAAAACAAAATGAAGTACACACAGAAGAAGCATGTGAGGTGACAGGGGAGGGCAGAGGGTCTTGGAACTTTGGCAGATTGTGCTAGCACGGAGCCAGGTGGCGGAGCCAGAGCCCGGGGCCGGGCCCCGCTGCCACTCTGCAGCTGTGGGGTGCAGATCTCAACTGGCGGGGGAGGAACACAGACGTCACCGTGCGAGTAGCAGGCACCTTGAGTCCCTTGCAATGTGTGGGCGAGGGGGGGGGACCATTTCACAGGACCTCTTTCCCCACCCGAGCTGGAAGCTGGCAGGGTTTTGCGGCGCTGGGGACAGAAGCCAGGGCCTCCCAAAGGGCAAGGGGAGGCCGCTGGAGACAAATCAGGCCAAGATGTCTTCGCACATGGTCACAGCCTTATACTGGGCAGAGGACAAAGGCGGAAGGACCCATGGTGGTTACCACTGGACAAAAACTTGGGTCAGGACCCAGAAGACATGGAGGAATGGGTCTAGATCAAGTGGTACCAGGCTGGGGCTCTGGGCCGTGGCAACCACACAGACTGATGGGGGCAGCTGGGGCAGGTGGGGGTGGACAAGGAGCCAGGGAAGGGAGAGAGTGAGTGAGAGACTGAGAGAGAGACTGAGAGAGAGAGAGAGAGAGAGAGAGAGAGAGAGAGAGAGAGAGAGAGAGAGAGAGAGAGAGAGAGAGAGAGAGAGAGGTGTCTTCTGCCCAGGCTTGTCCACCGTAGCACACACAGGGAGAACAACACACTACTCTTCCATTCTCTTTCTTGTAAAGATTTTTTTGTCGTTTTGTTTTTTTTAAAAAAGCCTAAAATTCAGCTACTGGTTACATCTACAAAATGTAAAGTGCTGTCATTACCAGCTACTTTACAGAACAGTCCAGAGTGGTCAAATATTGACCAATAAAGTTTCCTTTTTTTTTTGTCTTCTTCTGAATCATTACTACTTGATGAGTCACGCGACAGCCTGCATGGGGTGCGGGCAGCCTAGTGGGCAGTCTTGGTGACCAAGGAAAGAGGCTGGGCCTGGAGCACGGGGAGGGCCTGGTGGGCATGGATCGTGGCTGGGAAGGCAGGGGGAGAGGTCAGCAGAGCGGCGGGCATGGACCCTAGGGGGAGTGGCCGCGACAGCAGGGGCGGCTGGCTGCCCAGCTGGCCCGGGGAGCTGGCTGCAGCCTTCGTGGACAGGAAGGCGGCTGAGTGGAGAGCCAGCTGTGCCCGGCTCTCGGGCTTGGTGGTGAGGGAGAGGGGCTGGGCTTGCTCCGAGTGGGTGGCAGCTGGGGCGGCGGGCGAGGCCAGGGCCGCAGAGGGCGTGGCGGGAGAGTCCAGCATGCTGCCATGGGAGGAGGCAGGGCTGTCGCAGGGCTTCTCAGGGGGCAGGTACTGGACGCACGGCTTCTTGCTCTTGGAGGCCAGAGCACCTAAGGGAAAAGCACAAGAAATGAGCATCTAAGACCCCTGGGAGCGGGAGGGCCCGGGCCAGTGCTGGCTGAACACACGTCCAGGCGGCTCTCTGGGTCCACGGGGTCTGCAGCCACGGAGTCAAGCAAGAGCTGAGGGAAAAAAATCATTTTCTATAAGAGACGTGCGCATCCGGGGGTTTGGCAGCCGTGGAGTGGACGGTGGGGTGAGTCACAGAATCAGCTCCCATAGAGACGGAGGAACAGCTGAACTTTGGAAACCTAGGCATGCTGATGGGAAGGATCTGAGGTCACTTCCAAGGATTCCAAACCTAGAAAAGCACACTGAAGAACACGTAGAGCGGGGGCGATGCCCAAACTGTCCAAGACTCACACCCTAGAGGGCAAATGGCTCCGTCTACCAAAGCGTCATCTTTCTTTCCTAAATCTTGTAACTTTTGGGATGTAGCCACTCAATTTGCTTTAAAACCTTGGGCTGGCGCCTGCCTGGCAAGCGCAAGGTCGTGAGTTCGATTCCCAGTACTGGAAACAAACAAACAAACAAAAAATAAAACCTTGGGCTGCCAGTGCAATCAGAGATAGTGGAACCCTGCTGGGCAGCAAGTATACACTGGGCTATGCTGTGTCTACACAGTTTGCTCATGTGTCCTCTTTCTTTTAAAAATTTTTTTCATGTGTCCTCTTGTGTAGCTGAAGACACAAGTTATGTAAGTGCAAGAAAGGAAGAAGAAAGGCAAAGAGAAATAGGAGACCAAAAGCACTGCAGAGGGTGCAAGCAGTTGTAGCCTTGTCCTGAGGACGGGACCTAAATCCTCGCCACAGTGTGAGTCTCTCTCTGCTGGGTGTGATTCTGGTGTAAAAAGACAGTACCGATGTTTCACACCAAGTGGCCCCAAACCATTTGTTTCGACCAAAGAAACATCTAGGGGAATCTGATCCTACCAGATTCATTGATAGGCGGAATGTCAGGCTAGTGGGCCGCCTGCCTGTGGGAATTATGAGGCTAATTTCAATCTTTGTTCATTCATTCATTCTTTTTTAATTTTTTTTTTTTGGGGGGGTCTTTCTGAGACAGGGTTTCGCTATGCAGTTCAGGCTGGCTTTGAGCTCACTTTGTAGGCCAGGTCACAACAATCCTCCTGCCTCAGCCTCCTGAGTGCTGGGATTACAGGCGTGCGTCACCATGCCCAGCTCATTCATTCTTTTTAAGACAGGGTCTCACTACAGAGCCCAGGCTGGCCTCGAACTCGTATCAATCCTCCTGCTTCAGCCTCCTGAGTGCTGGGATTATAGGCCTGCGCCACCACACTGAACTCATAGTCCATCTTTTGTTTAGGCATTAATTCTTGTACCTAATCCTCAAATTATAACTCAACTGAACTGAGAAGTACCTGGGTTTCAGAGAAAGTCCCAGGATCAAATCCTACCCCCACCACTTAACAAGCAGACTAACTGGGAAAAATCCCTCAATTTCTCTGAGCATTTTAATTGGTCACCTCTAAAAAGGCAACACGACCCCCAGCTGGGTAGAGTGAGGCTGCCCTGGGGAGAGGCCCGGACAGCGCACAGGCAGGTGTGGCTGCGACGGTGGGGGAGGGACACAGAGAGGACAGGGCCTGACTCACCCTCTGCCTCGGGGACTGGCTGCTGGGGCTGCGTCTGTGACAGCTGCTTTTCTCTCTTCCTCTTCTTTTTCTTACCCTAAAAGATGGCCAAAAGGAGAGGCGAATAGGGACAGATGAATACCTTGTTTTAAGAACACTAGTTTGGGGGCTGGGGATATAGCTCAGCGGTATAAGCGCCAGCCTGGCAAGTGCAAGGTCCCGAGTTCGATTCCGGGTACCCAAACAAAAACAAAAAAAAGAACACTAGCTTCACTATTAATATCCAGTCTCTTGTCAGGGGGCCGAGGATAGGGGCATGGGGCATTGCCCTGCAGCTCTGGTTACCCTAGGTGCGGGTCCTGGTTTCGGAGCCCTGAGAGGTGGAAACCTCCCTCCCCGGGGTGCTGGCCCAGGCTTCTTGCAGGCCCCAGCCTGCCCCCTCCTCCGGGCTGGCTTCCCTGCTCTCTCCCTAGCGTAGTGCTTCTGGATCTTTTCCTGAGGGGTCCTGGGTCCCTCTGAAAGTCTGTTGCAGCTGCTAATCCTCGTACCAGTAGAAAAGAAAACAAGAACTGACCTATGCAAAGCTGCTGAGTATCAGTGAGCGTATAGATAGGTGTGCCAAGCCTCCTGTGGCTTAGACACTGCTCTTTGAGTCCCTGATTAGAAGCCTGTGGCTACAGGACAACCCCCCCACCAGCCCTAAGCCATACTATCCCCACTGTTACGGAATCAAAGGTGGAGTCCAGCTCAAATGGGAAAGGAACAAATTTAAGTCTGGCCTTAGATAGCTTGTGACTTTTTTTTTTTTTGAGATAAAGTCTCTCTATGTAGTTGAGGCTAGCCTTGAATTCACTATGTAGATAAGCCTAGTCTCAAAAACTGGCAGTGATCCCCCTGCCTCAGCTTCCCAAGTGCTGGGGTTATAGATGTGTGCCACTGTGCTTGGCTCTATCTCGTGACCTTCTCAGAATTAAAATAGTTTCTTATTTCTAGAGAAACACGGCCTTCTCCCTTAAGAGTCCTCTGTGTGTCCCCTGGCCACTCACGTAGTTGTCCCGGGCTGACCAGGTTGGGTAGAGCTGGGAGTGAAGCTGCCGCTCCTTGCGGGCCAGCTCGTAGTACTTGGCCTGCTCTTCTCGGGAAAGGTTGTGCCACTGCGGGAGAGAGCGCGCGTCAGAGACGGGAAGTGGCGGGCCCAGGGGACGGGGCCCTGCAGCCGGGCCCAGGGTGCGCCTCACCTTCCTTCCCAGGATCTGGTTAATGGCCGCGCTTTCCTTCAGGGTGCACTCGGCCACCACCTTGGCCCTCATCTCCTTCATATACAACATGAAGGCGTTCAGAGGCTTCTTCACATGGGGCTTCTTCTCCTCCTCCTTCTTCACGGTGACTGGGGATTTCCTGGGAGGGCGCAGGGCGGGAGTCAGGAAGGTCTGGCAGTCACCGGGCAGCTGCCGATGCTGGGGAGGGCTGCAGACCAGCTCGGGTGCTGATCCAGCTCGCTTCAGCACTGGGGCACCTTCCACACGTAGCCCTCACCCCCTGAATCGCCTCGGTGCCATCTCTGAAAACCCCCTGACAATTTCCCGACAAAGGGGCACAGGGAGAGCTGGCGAGAGGGGTTAGGAGAAGCGGGCAAGGCCCTCTGGGCAGGGGCAGGGGCTTTCCTGCGGCCTTCCAGGCACAGCGGGCGAAGGAGGGGCTTCTGCGCCTCTCAGCTCTGCTCGGGGCCATTGTGGTCCCCGAGAGGATGCCAGGCCCTGCACGCTCACGGGTGTCAGGGCGCGGAGCAAGCCCGCGCTGTCTCGGCCTCCAGCCCCTGGGCCTCACTGAAACTTTCCTTAACATGGGGAAAGCTGCACCAAGTCTGTCAAGGGGCGGGGACACAGAAAGTGAAAGGGAACAATTCTTGGGGAGGTCAGGGCTCCTCCCAGGTGCAGGCCGGAGAGAAAAACGAACAGCAACAAATAGCAAATACCAGTCCCCTCCCACCCGTGCTTACTTACGCGCTCACTGCGGGGCTCAGGCTGGGGGGCGCCGGTTCCTGCTTGACGATGGGGGAGACGATGGCGGGGTGGGGGATCCCTGAGGTGGGCAGGCCAGGGTGGGCGGGAGCCACCATGTGAGGGGAGAAGCGGCTGGACACCAGGCTGCGGGGCAGGCGGGAAGAAACGGCAGCAGGGGACGCAGGCTGAGTGAGCGCCACCCAGCGGAGGCCAGGAGGCTCCCTGCCAGTTTGGGGGGTGGGGTGGGGGGCCACTCGCTGTCCGCTGTAGAGTCAGGTTTGAGGGACACCAGATGCTCACCTCCCCCCGGGACACCGGGCACCCCGACCTGGTGCCACAAGCAGGTAGATTGGAAAACACAAAAGGAGGTGCAGAGGTCAGAGGGCAGCGCAAATGGGGAAACAGAGCTGATGCCATGGGCTGCACAGGTTCTGTCCCCGAGGGCCACTGTCAGGTGCCACCCTTGGGACAGAATCCACCCCACTCCATCTCCCCTCCTCACACTGTGCGGGGCACCAAGCTCCCCCTATCTCTGAGGGCAAAGTGGACACTCGAATGCCTCCGTCCACAAAGCCTGCGCCCAGGGAGCGGGCGGGGCGGGCAGGGACCCAGGCTCTGAGGCCCTGGCTGCGGACGAGCAAAGGACCCTGTGCCTCCATCCAGCCCAGGGGAGGGAGCAGGGGCACGAGGCGAGCCTGGGCAGAGGGGTGGGCGGGGAGGCGAGCTCTGCGTGGCTCACTCACTGAGCACAGCAAGGCCGTGTCACAGCGAGGAGTGGCTGTCACCGCAGTTCTCAGCCCCGCCCAGACTCACCTGGACATGGAGGCGTTCATGGCCAGGGCAGGGTAAGGGCTCCGGAAGCCACCGGGAGGAATGGAGTACATGGGCTGCCCCTGCCTGTGAGGGCCAGGAGCAAGAAATCTGGTCAGGTGCTGGGACCGTTCAGGCCGGATGGAGAGGGGCAGGTGGGGAAAGCGCCGGGAAGTGGGCAGAGCAGGGCAAGCTGCCTGGGGCGGGCGCGGGGAGGCCCGAGCCCTGGGGTCAGAGGCAGAGCTCAGCACAGGAGAGAAAGGGGTAAGAGGCCTGGCAGTTTCCTTACTGTGGGACGAGCCAGCCGAGGGGGTGGGGGATTTGTCCAACGGCTCCGGGAGACAGTGGGTAATATGGTGACAGCTCAGGCGGGTGAGGGGGCCGGGGGATTCCTGCTTGCAAAGAGAGAGCCGAGTCAGACAGTTCCCTCCCCGCACTGCCTCCTGCTGCTGTGTCTCCAGGAGTCTGGAGCCCGGAGGGCTGCCTCCCCCGTCACCATCCTCGCCCTCCACCCCTGCCCACAGCTCTGCCAGCCCTCAGGGGCCTTCTCATCTTCCCAGCCACACAGCACCCATCTCTGCGGTTTGCAGTAACTTTCAGCTGCTTGTCAGACAGGAATGGGTTCCTTGTGAGAGAGGGTCAGGAAATCCCCGCCAGAGGGCCAGGATAGCCCCCGAGTCATCCGTTAACTAAAAGTCTAGAAAACTGGCCTCCTTCGTGGAGAAATGAACCCTGGGTTTCTCGTTGTTTTGTTTTTCAGCGCTGGTGATGGCTCTGGCGCACACTCTACGATGGAGCTACATACTCAGCCCCGGAACTCGAGGCGTCTCTTCCTCAGTTACCCTGTTTATTACGTGCAGTGTGTGGTGAGCGTTATTTCTCCAGAGAGAGGCTTCAAAACGCTTTGAGCCACGACAGTTCTAGGAGGCCAGTGTGAAGCCCTTAGGGCCACTGAAATTTTTTTAAAAAGCTAGCCTGGCATAGAGGCATACATCTATAATTCCAACATTTTGGGAGGCTGAGGCAAGAGGATTGAGAAGTCTGAATCCAGCCTGGGCGACTTAGTGAGACTCTGTCTCAAAATAAGTCAAACAAGGAGTTAGGGATGTAGCTCAGGGTGAAGGACCTGAGTTTGATCCCCAGTACAAAAAAACACAAACACCCTAGCTTCGCTTTCTTGCTTTTACAACTATACTTGGAAGCCTGGCTGGACCGATGACTCTGTTTGAAAGTAGAACCTAGGGCAAGCATGGGTTTTGGTTTACAGAGATACAACGGGAAGCTGGGCTACTGGAGCTCGTCTAGTTCACCCCCTTTAACCCTCACCCTATCCCCAAGGTGGGGAAGGCACAAGGTCAAGGTCACTCTGGAGGGCTGGAGGCGTGATGTGAACTCAGGTCTGCCTCCTTCAGGGCCGGCTGTGTCCCCCCAGGAAAACCTGCCCAGCTCGAGAGCAGCCGTGTGGCGGGCGACTCACCCGTCTTTGGGTCGATCTCCTGGGTGAGGTGTGTGGGAGGGGAGCCCGGGGAGAAGTGGTCGTTGCTGTAGGTGATGAGGGGCGTCAACGGGTGCATGTGATGCGGGTGCTGGACAACAGGAACTTTGTTAGACTGTAAGACACAGGGAAGGAGGACTGGGACCAGTTGCCAAGGAGACGGGAGCAGACTCAGCTGTGAGTTACCGAGGGAGCGTGTGCCAGGTATTTCCCGCGCACATCCCGTTCAGCCTCCACACCGCTCTCCGGAGACAGGAAGCAGCCCGCACAGCAGAGAAGGAAGCTGCGGGCGAGGGAAGGGATTCACCGCCTACGCACCGCCCGGATCCCTCCGTGGACACAGCTGCAGACTGTGCTGTGTGACCTCGGCCCACCTGCAAGGCCTGGCCCAGCTCTGCAAATCAGCTTCACACAAACATCTCTCAGGTCTGGCTCTGAGACCAGGGACAGAGCAGTGGGGGCTTCTCAGCAGCAGAGCTCGGACTACCAGTGACCGCCTTCAGACGGGAGGCACAGAGCGAGCGTGCTTTCAGCTCTGCTTTAGGCACCATTTACGACACGGCTGCCGACCACATCGAATGTAAGGAGGAGCATTATTTTATGTAGCTGGACGTGGAGAAGGAACACTAGCATGTTAGGCTGCACCTTGATTTCAGAGCTGGGAATGGGAAAAACCCGCGCATCCTAGAACTGGCAAACCCAATTCATTTTAAAAATTTTCATCTGATCTGATGCAACAATAAGGATCTTTATTACAAAAATAGCTACACTTTACTGAACACCCAAATTACAAACACGGCAATATGCACAATGGCTAGTCCTTCTTACAACCTGGCAAAAAAATACGATCGTCATATATATATACATATTATTTTTTTTCTTTTTTCTTTTTCTTTGAATTCACTATGTAGCCCAAGCTGGCCTTGAACTTATGGTGATCCTCCTGCCTCAGCCTCCCAAGTGCTGGCATTAAAGGCATGCACCACAATGCCTGGCTTGATTGTCCCCATTTTAGAGATGAGAAAACTGAGCTCAGAAACATTAAGCAGCTGCACCTCGGCATAGGGGTAACAAACAGCATAACTGGAATTCCTGCCTGGTACGTGGGGCTCTGAAAAGAGTTCTTTCTCTTATACTACCTGCCTCCCAAGATCCTGATCAAAGCACAACTATAGGGTCAGATTTTTTTTTAAAAAGTAATTAAGTTAGAAGTAAAAAGGTAAGTTTGAAAAAGATTCGTGAGATGAGATTTGGAGCTGGTCCCAGAGCTGGAACTCCACACAGCTGTCTTCCTGTTCGAATTTCCTAGACTCCGCAAGCCCGCCTTCCCTTCCTGATGCGCATCTGGCGCTCACACTGCAGACCCGGATGATGAGGCCGGCTTCCTCGGCCTCCCTGTGCTCTTGCTGGCCAAGCAGGTTTGGGAGACAGAGGACCCACGCTGTTCCTAACCACGACCACTAGGTGGCGCTCGAACACAACGGGCCCTGCTGGCAGAATCCCGCTTCACCTCCCGTCACCTCTTATCACGTTCGCGGGTGCGCTTGCCCCTGGCTGTGCAATGAATCCTAACATTTCCTCCACACTGTTTTCACTTGTTCCGTTACTGTGGTCGATGATGTCTCCATCCTTGAACATACTGCACAAATAAAGGTATAAACTAAGATCAGATTTCCTGGAACCCAATGCAACTAAATGAAGTGTTTGGGTTCATTGGAACCAGCTTTGCCTAAAGGTTTTTTTGTTGAACATTATAAATGCAACAGGGTTATTACCAAAGAGAACGAAGGTGATAGAAGAATTACACAGAATGACCATAACTTAAAGATAAACAAATATAAACCGCAATTATAAAAAAGGGGACTAGCTAAGGCTGGGAATGTAGCTCCGTGGCAGGGAGCTTGGCTAGCATGCGAACCCTGGGTTCAGTCCCTGATACCACAAACAACATAGAACCAAGACCCAAGCCAAAACCAAAATTAAATAGAAGCACAGAAAAAATGTAATCAGTAGTTATGTTCGAGGCAGAACTGAGTGATTTTTATTGCTTCCTTTTCAATAGTTTCAATACATTACTATTTAAAATATGTATTAAAGGGCCAGGCATGATGGTACATGCCTGTAATCCCAGCATTTGGGAGGCTGAGGCAGGAGGATTGCTAGGAGTTCAAGGTCAGCCTGGGGTATAAGGTAAGTTCAAGGCCAGCCTGAATTGCATAGTAAAACCCTGCCTCCAAAAAATAAGGAAAAGGGGCTGGGGATATAGCTCAGTGGTGTAAGCGCCTGCCCGGCAAGCGCAAAATTGTGAGTTCGATCCCCAGTACTGCAAAAAACAAAAAAAAAAAAAAAAAAAAAAAAAAAAAAAAAAAAAAGAAAAAGGAAAAGCATACTAAGAATACCACATATTTTCTAAGATGGAACCACAAACATCATAAAGCCTGTAGAAAACACAATCCCGCCATCTAACCCAGTCACTTCATTCAGACTTCTCATGCATCAGTTTTTAATTTCCACTTACTTATATCACCCATAGCCACCCAGAGCCAGGCGACAGTATCCCAATGTCCTGGTGGCCCCTGTGTGCTTCAGTTTGGCCTCTCAGAAGCTGGCAAACAGCACTGAATGGGTGGGGATGTGACTTACTTTGGATATCTAGGTAGTCAGGTAAAGGCGCCATGACTATTGACCGCCCAGCAGGTGGCGTTCTTGTCCAGAAAGTAAGCACTGAGGGAAAGGCGGGAAGCAGACGTGGTATTCAAGACTGCTGAGACCGGACTGCTCTCTTGAGGGGACTGGAGGGACAGTTCTTTTAGGAGACTGCTGTCCCAGTGAAAGTTCCTGCCAGCTCCAGGCTGGCCAGGTGTGATGGTGTATACCGGTAATACCAGCACTCAGGACGCTGAGGCAGGAGGGTTGCAAACTTGAGGCCAGCGTGGGTTGCATGGGGAGATCTTGTCTCAAAAAAACAAAAACCCAGATCAACCAAATCCAAAGTTCCTGCTTTTTTCCTCCGCTACCCTAAGGGACAAGATGCCCACAGCATAAGCTCAGGCCAAGGATCTGGAATACACACCCCCAGGGGCAACCCCAGAGCAACATTACAAGCAAAGCCCGCCCAGATGGACGGGTCCCAGGAAGAGCACCTCCACGCCATCCTGGGCCTAAATCCTTCCGAAAGCCACCGGGACCTAACTCATTCGTAGGAGCTGTCCCTCGTCTCTCCCAGTCTGTCCAAGACGCAGCGCTTCGGCTCCCGGGGAGGCGACGTGGCGCCTCTCGAGCTCCAGAGCTTCCTGTTAAGCCACGACCAGTCGCACCCCCAAATGTCCGGGGTCCCCGCTCCAGCTGCGGCTCGCAGGAGCTTTAGGAGCCCCCAGACCCAGGTGCTCACCAGCTCCGCTTCTTCAGCCCACTTGGAGAGCTCAGAGGTGCATGGGGACAGCTCAGGGGGCGCCGGCCTCCGGCGGTGCGTTGAAGACCTCCGTGCCGTCCACAACCAGCTGCTCGGGAGGCGGGCAGCCTTCTCTCTGGGGATCTGCGCGGTGTGTGGGACAATGCTAAGGACAGGCCTTGAGGGAAAAGGAGACTGAACTTGTTCCTAAGGCACCACGCAGTCCCCACGCTGCGAGCTGGAGGGCAGCGGACTGGAGGTGGGGTTGGGGGGCGGCCCCCAGGGCTGCAGGGCGCCCCAGGCTTGCATCTGCCCCCGGGAATCAGCTCGGAGCGGGCTCCCGCGCTCCCCTCTGCCGTTGTTTTTGCTTGTGCTCTTAGCAAATTTTCAACCTCACGGCTGTTGCAGGAATCTGTCGAAGCTACGTGCGCACTTCCCCAGGGTTATTTCATCAGGACTTGAAAGTAACCCACAACCTACCCAGCTGGGCTCCGGTAGAGCGAGGTGCGCTGCGCTGTGCTGTGCTGGACTGCGCCCGGCGGGCCAAGTCCCTACCCCGATCCCCCGCGAGGGGTGGCCGATTTTTCTCAGGCACACTTCACGTCCCACACAGCAAACGTAGGTTTCTTCCTAAATGTTCTTAGGGCAAAACATGGCTATGATAGCGTTCGCTTTCTTCTCTCCCCCGCCCCGTCTGTACCTCAGCAGGACGTGCTACGCCTGCACTCATTTTTTGCAGCTGTTTTTTAATTTTTTATTTTAAAGAAAAAGAAACAAAAGCAAAATTCCAAAACAATGATAGGAAGGTACCAATGGTTAATACATTGTATATTGTTACCTTTGGTTACTCAGAGTATGAGATATCAGCATTTAATTGTCCAGATAATACTAGCACAAATCTATCTGTTCAAATGAACTGAGAGAAATTAGTAGTATAACTTTTTCAACTATCTTTGGTATATATATTTTCCTTCTGCTTTTCCCTTCCGTCTTTTTTTCCATTCCCCTAAACCAGTTTCGCTTTCCCAGTATCTACTGTACATTTTGGATCACATTTACTCGTTTAGCTTCTCACACTAGGGAGACAATACAATGTTTACACGCGTGTCTGGTTTATTCCACTTATGGGTATGGTCTCAAGTTGTATCCTTTTACCTATAAGTCTCCACTTTATCCTTCTTTATGGCTGAGTAATACTCCATTATATAAAAAGACTACATCTTTTTTATGTTTTTCAGTTGATAGACATTTGGGTTTTTTCTAGATCTAGCTATTACAAATTGTGCTGCTACAACATGGGTGCACATATATCGCTGTGGTACGATGTTTTAATTCTTCTGGGAAGATACTCAGAATGGGAATAGCTGGGTCAAATGGAACCTCCAATCCTAGTTTTTTGAGGACTCTTCACACTGATTTCCACAGTGGCTGTACCAGTCTACACTCCCACCAACAGTGGAGAAGGGTTTCTTTTTGCCCACAGTCTCACCAGCACATTTGTTATTGGTTGATTTCTTGATAATAGCCATTCTTTCCGGGGTGAGATGGAATCTCAGTGTTGCTTTAATTCGTATCTCTTGAATGATGAGTGATGCTGAACATTTTTTCATATATTTATTTGCTGTTTGTATTTCTCCATCTGAGAAGTGTCTATTCATCTGTGATGCTCATTTTTGGACTGGGTCTTTAAATTTGTGAGGTCTGATTTCTTAGAATTGTTATAC